CCCCCCCCACACACACACACACATTTCCAAAGGGGGGACATTAACTTGTTCTTATGCACTGTAGAATTATAAATGGGCTGATTCAACAATGTCATGCTCATAACTGTGCCTGAACTGCAACTGGGAACTGCTGCTTTTTTGTTCCTTATCCTTACTATTGTCATTTTTCCTCTACATCTTTGTATGTTTGTCACACTCTTGTGACCCGCTATTTCCGGGGTGCCATGATGGTCGAAGCAGACCTTGTGCTGTTGAAGCTAGAGATGTGAGCAGAGTAAGCCTGATTCCCTGTAAAGACCAGACCATCAATGATTTATTTATAGAGGCACCAGCCATCCATGTCCAGGTGCTGTTTTAGCCTATAAAGACTTCTTTATTGACGTCCACCCCTTGGCGGTCATATGACCTTATGCAGTTGCGAGCGCCGTAAAACCTCTGCTAAAACAAACAAAAGAGAATGAACGACAACCACACAGACAACGTTAACCTGTACCTCACCTGTGTGTCGCTATATCTCCCCCCCCCCCCCCTCCCCTTCACCCCATCAGAAAATGAACCACAACCACACGGACGACGCGAACCTGGTACAGAAGATCAACGCCATCGTGCACTGTTTCATCGACTCCACCATCCCGCCCTCCCTGCAGATAGACATCCCCCAGGAGATGGCCGACCGGATCCTGGACCACAAACACGAGAAGGGACCGTATCTCTTCCGGGAGGCACAGGTAGGGCTAGCCACAGACACAGTGTGACTATCCCGCACAATTAAAATTAACATACTATAAAACCGAGTTTTAATTTTAATTTTAATTTTCACATTCTTACACTTTTGAAAATATATGTGAATGTTCCTTGATGTGAGCAAAACAATAAATAAAGATGGAAGTGAATTTAAAAACAGAATTACTTTAAAATATAAAATAAATTAAGTGCACTTTGTGAACTTTGAGTTTGGTACCTGGCATTGTATTATTCTTGTGAGCGCTTCGGTTTTTTAACGTTTATTTTAATTTTAATTTTAATTTTCACATTTTTACACTTTTGGAAATGTATGCAAATGTTCCTTTATGTGAGTAAAAGAAAAAAGATGGAAGTGTATTTTTAAAAATTATTTCAAAGAATTTAAACTAGTAGCTGGGCCCCCTTTCAATGAAAGGAATGATCGGTACATTAACATCAACGGAAAGTCATTGGCCTACTATATTTACACTCTACTGGAATGGAGCAATAAATCTTGAGAGAAAAGTGACACACGCGTTTCCAAGTTGCCACATATATAATAGATGTAGGCCTATAAATTGATTCTCTATTCCGCTTTCGTGGTTGTACCCTCCATAATTTCAAAGGTGTGGAATAAGTGTGCACGTCCAGTGAACGGAATCCTCACTTGTTTACAATGGCGTCTTACAAGACGGACTTTCCCAAGATTAGATTTAAACGAAAGTAACGAAAAACTGAGAATTTAACTACAGTGACTTCAGGCTCCTCAATAAAACTGTGCACCCTTTAAATGATTCTGAACCACCTTCAATTTTGTCAAATTGGAAAGTTCAGTGGTTCGGAAGCTTTAGGCGGTGAAAGTAACGAACTTCCACAAACAGAACCAAAAGTTGGATGACCAACAAAATCTAGAAGTTGGATGACCAACAGAATCTAGAAGTTGGATGACCAATAGAATCTAGAAGTTGGATGACCAACAGAATCTAGAAGTTGGATGACCAATAGAATCTAAAAGTTGGATGACCAACAGAGTCTAAAAGTTGGATGACCAACAGTGTCTAAAAGTTGGATGACCAACAGAATCTAAAAGTTGGATGACCAACAGAATCTAAAAGTCCATTAACGAGGTTCACAACAAACTTAGGTTTCGACACGTTTTATTAGATGTTAACCAAAAGCAAGTCAAAAACAAATGAGAGGCAGCGCGGTGAAATCAAGCGCTCGTCAAAATAATGAAAATCAAGAAACTGACATTTTCCCAGAGGTTTGGGAATTTGTATTGAATTTTTGTTTTTTGGCTCAACTCCTTTCATGCCCATTAAAGAACACATTTCTGTTTGGATTTTACAGGAAAAACGTTGATTAAAGGCGTAAAAGATGTAAATGTTCAGTTTCCACGGACTCTCAAGCTAGGGAAATAACTCAATTTTGCGGCCATTTTCTCGCTAATTCTACCTCTGGAACCAGGCGACCCCCCACCTCCTTAAACTGCCAATATCTTGATTTGTATAAATGGATATTTTTTTTTTACATCGAAAGCAATGCAAATGGACAGGCTTTAAGATGGTACCAATAACTCCCTATGCCCCAAAACTGACGAGCGCCTGAATCCACCTCACCGTGACACAAATGTAATGGGATTTACAGCTCACACAGGGACCTCAGAAGTTGACATATACAGCTCACACAGGGACCTCAGAAGTTGACATATACAGCTCACACAGAGACCTCAGAAGTTGACATATTTTCATCAACACCACACTTGAACGCACGCCTGTGAAACACAGGGCCAACAGATAGGTGAGCACTTTTCGAGACTCACGTGGAGACGTCCAGACAGTCTTGGGAGGAAATGGACAAGCTTATACTGAAATGTGGGGGCAGGGTGGTGTCGCTGTCTCAAAATGAACAATTCGTGAACTGCCCCATGACCCCAGTGAGCCAGTGTCTGTCTGTTTGTCCCCAGTGACCCCTGTGTCTGTCTGTTTGTCCCCAGTGACCCCTGTGTCTGTCTGTTTGTCCCCAGTGACCCCTGTGTCTGACTGTTTGTCCCCAGTGACCCCTCTGTCTGTCTGTTTGTCCCCATTGACCCCTGTGTCTGTCTGTTTGTCCCCAGTGAGCCAGTGTCTGTCTGTTTGTCCACTGTGTGTGGGTGGTTGGCGGGTGCTCTGGTGTGGTTTGCTTCTTCGTTCCAATCAAACATCGATCGTCTTTATCTTACCTCCTTCTTTTGTATGTTTGTTACTCTCTTGTAACACCTCTAATCGCTCACATGCAGTTGCGAGCGCCGTAAAACCTCTACTAAAACGAAACGAAACCAGCGAGTCAGTGTCTGTCTGTTTGTCCCCAGCTGGCCACGTTCCGCATCCTGCTGACCCACTGGCAGCCGTTCTGTGAGTTCCGTAACAACATGAACACAGACGAGAGGGCGCTCACCACGCTGGAGAGGCACAGGGTCATAGCCAGGCAGAAGGAGGCAGCTCACAGAGAGGAGCTGGAGAAACAGAGAGAGAGGGTACGTGTGTGTGTGTGTGTGTGTGTGTGTGTGTATGTGTGTGTGTGTCTGTGTGTGTGTGTGTGTGTGTG